AGAAAGTCACATGATGAACCAAAGCCCATCACAAGCAGCTTTTAAATAATAACATATATTCACCTTTATTTGACCCTCTAACTCTAGCACTTTCTATTCTATTTACATATATATATATATATATATATATATACATTTAGTCATTAGACAGACACTTTTATCCAAAGTGACTTACACATGAGGACAATAAAAGCAGTCAAAACTAACAAAAGAGCAACAATATATAAGTGCAAATGACAAGTCTCGGTTAGCCTAACGCAGTACACGTAGCAAGGTGTGTGTGTATATATATATGTATATGTGTATACTGTATATATGTGTATATATGTATGTTTTTCTCTGCAGGATTTTGACATTGACATTGTGGCTGTGATCAATGACACTGTCGGCACCATGATGACCTGCGGCTACGATGACCATCACTGTGAGATCGGCCTCATCGTCGGTGAGTCACGCTCTTACATTTGCACTCGTATACAAGCTGAGATCAGCCAGCGTGCCAGTGATGCTGTCAGGTGTGCTTACTGTGAGTGAAAGGTGCTTTATTCAAACATAGACCTTTTGTTCTGTCACTTGTTTGGGTTATTGGTTGTGGGAATATAAGAGCACACATTTCAGGCATTTTATAGCCTGTTCAGGCCTAAATGATTTTGGTGGCATCTTCACAATACTAATTCTCACACTCCACTAAATGAACTAATTGTTTTGATTCCTGTTCCTCAATAGTGTGTAATTATAGAGGCCGGAGCAGTCTTTCTCACAACTTTATATGCTGTGCGCAGCCTCCGTTATTACACTCTCTAATTTCTACATAATTTTAACACTCTCTCACATTAGATAACAAATACAGAGCTAAATTTATAGCTGTAAGTGGAAATATAGCCAATGAGTATTTCAGAGGGAAAACAGCTGGAGTGAAGTTTTTTCTTTTGGAAAGAAATTTTAAAATTATGGCTATTAAAAAAACCCAAATTCTTCTCAGCAGCTGAGTCCTTAGCCATCTTCAAGAATCGGCTAAAAACACATCTCTTCCATCTTTATTTGACCCTCTAACTCTAGCAATCTCTATTCTAATTCTATTCTTTAAAAAAAATTCCCCTTTTAGACTTGCACTCTATTCGTTTACTGCTTGTTTTCTTTAAAAAAAGAATCTATTTTTATTTTATTCTATATATTTGTTTTGTTTTTATTTATTATACAATTAACAAAAGCAAAAAAAAGGCCTATAACACTACCTTGCTCTATTCTTTTTCTATTTCTATGAAGAAATTTTCACAGGAATAAATTACATTAAATGTAATACATTTTTATAAACTTTTATAAGAAAAGAAAAAAAAAATACAATGTTTTAAATAAGTTTTAATACCGAAATTTAAGTGTATAATGTGTAAATAAAATGTTTATTAAATTGATATTTAGTAAATAATAGCAACTGAACAAGAAGTCTGTACTTAATCATGATTACTGTCGTGCAAATGTGGAAAATCCTGGTTTATTTTGGCTTCTAAGACAGTGTTGAGAGACTACAGGAGGCTTTACTGGTAGCTGGGCTAATAAAACAAGCTTACCCTGTCATTTCCCACTGAGCCAGACCACTGTTGAGTCTACAATTGAAATATAATTGAACATCGTGAAGATGAAGTAAATTCCCCTGCCTGCACCTTTGAACACAATATTGTAGGATTAGAAGGAATCTGTTGCTTTTCACAGTGCTTTAAAACCAACAGGCTGTAGTTTCAAAGAGGAGTTGCATTGCAGAATGTTTGCGTTACTTATTTGCATTTGCTGTAGAATATTAACAGAAAAAAATGCATTGTAGACAAAGCAATAAAAATATCCCACACCTTTGAGACACGAGTCGTATGCATCAGTCATAATATTAATTAATATTACTCAGTACTTAAATGTATAATTACACTGTAACAAGGACACCTTAAAATAAAGTGTAACCTTTTAGAAAAATATAGTTTTTGCTAATCCACTGAAGTGACTCGCAGTTTCATGCTATAATTGATTTATTTGCGTGAAACATTTTTAATGTGGGTGCAGTTATGGTTTTGCATGCAACATGTAACATCAAGCAGAATTTCCAGGAATCTTCAATGCAAACAAATCGGTGTGTGTGTGTGTGTGTGTGTGTGTGTGTGTGTGTTTTACAGGGACGGGCACCAATGCATGCTACATGGAGGAGATGCGTCACCTGGAGCTGGTGGATGGAGATGAAGGGCGCATGTGCGTGAACATGGAGTGGGGTGCGTTCGGCGACGACGGTGCATTAGACGACATCCGCACCGAATTCGACCGAGAGATCGACGCTGGCTCCCTCAACCCTGGAAAACAGCTGTGAGTGACCGTTAGAGCCGCTAAGAGACCTTTAATGTTGTCCAAATGAAGTTCTTAGCAATGCATATCACTAATCAAAAATTAAGTTTTGATATATTTACAGTAGGAAATTTACAAAATATCTTCATGGAACATGATCTTTACTTAATATCCTAATGACTTTTGGCATAAAAGAAAAATCTATAAATTTGACCCATACAATGTATTGTTGGCTATTGCTACAAATATACCCCAGCGACTTAAGACTGCTTTTGTGCTCCAGGGCCACATATGTGCCTGCTGTAGTAGTAGCTACAAAGAGTCATTACATCAACTCCTATGCCATCATTAACTGTGCATTGCCTGATCAGAACTCACAGGTCTCAAGGGTTTTAAAGCTGCAGCTCCTGACCCTAGTCATTGTGACTCCACAGGTGCTTTCATTTAAGAAGCAGCACTTTGAAAGCTCAATCAAATCCCATCATGCTTCGAGTGCTTGTTGCCGAGCTCTTTAAATGCCCTCAGCGGTGGAGTTATGCAATTGATTGCCTTATTGGATTTGCACAACATGCACATACCAATAATTCAGTTGCTCTGAAGCCTCCTGCTTTTCTCTCCAGAGATCCCGGTTTCTGAAGATCAGTGGGGATACACTGTTTCTTTACAGCTGCAAGTCAATGTTATTGTTCTCTCGCATAATCTGCTCCCTGAGGCGATGAATGCTTAGACTGTGACCAGATCAAGTTCTGCAAACGTTTTTCTCTTCCCATAAATAAGAACTCTTAACAGCAATGTGGAAAGTTACAGTAAAGCACAATATGAACTCGTCAATTACTTACTGTACTTTTTTCAGTTTATTTATAGCAGTATATGTGACCCTGGAGCACAAAAGCAGTCTTAAGTCGCCGGGGTATATTTGTAGCAATAGCCAACAATACATTGTATGGGTCAAAATTATAAATTTTTATGGTGAGGTTTTAGGTTTGTATAAATAAATGAATACATACACTTTGTAAAAATCGACGCTTTTCAGAAAGGCGGGGCATAGAGGAGAAACAATAATGTACAGTATGTGGAAAATAATGTGTTTTTTGAACCTTAAACCGCATAAACACATTTCATTACACCAAATACACAAAATAATGTTCTTTTTAGCAGCATCATATGACCCCTTTAAAGGAGCCCGGTTGAAAATAATAATTTTTCCACTTTTTTTTTTGTGCAAAAAAACTTTATTAACATTATGAGTAAACCTAAATAAAAAAAAAATCCATATCGTGACACCTTTAAAGATTTAAATCCAATTTTTATTTATATTTTTGTCACACTTGCCGAGATTAAATCTTACTGCGAGTGACTCCTGTCTCTTCTATATTAATTACTTTCAAGGACTCGTCTCCAGATAATAATCATAATTTCCTCCTTTTTTCACAAATATTTCCTACACCCCTGATTACAGAGACGTCCCCCTGAAGTGAATAAAGATGATTGGGGATCTCTCCGGTTTATGGGTTGCAGCATGCATCGTAACATGCATATTTATCGTGCTTATCTCTGTGCTGCATGCTTTGTTTGTGTGCAGGTTTGAGAAGATGATCAGTGGGATGTATATGGGTGAGCTGGTCAGACTGATCCTGGTGAAGATGGCTAAAGACGGCCTGCTCTTCCAGGGACACACCACTCCAGATCTGCTCACCACTGGCCACTTCCAGACCTCCTTCGTCTCTGCCATCGAGAATAAAAAGTCAGTACCTTTTTGTGCTTGTGTGTTTCTTGCTATACTAAAAAAAGTGCGGCAGAAGTAAGCTAAAACTGATAAAGTTAATAAATAAAATGGCTAAATCCTGTTTTTAAAGGGAGTGTTCACTCTAAAATGAACATTTTTGGATTTGGAGGAATGTGGCATTGCATCACTTGCTCTGCAGTGAATGGGTGCCGTCAGAACGAGAGCTGATAAAAACATCACAATAATCCAGACCGCTCCAGTCCATCAGTTAACATCTGGAGAAGACAAAAGATGCATTTTTGCAAAAAAAAAAAACTTTTGTCTTCTCCAGATGTTAACTGATGGACTGGAGTGCTGTGGATTATTGTGATGTTTTTATCAGCTGTTTGGACTCTCATTCTGACGGCACCCATTCACTGCAGAGCAAGTGATGCAATGCTACATTCCTCCAAATCTGACGAAGAAACAAACTCATCCTAATCTGGGATTATCTGAAGGGGAGGAAATTATCAACAGATTTTAATTTGTTGGTAAACTATTTCTTTTAAATTGCCCTTTTCTTACAAATGCTTACAAATTGCATGCTACTTGTTATTATATTCTAGGCTGTCTATTTAATATTAAATAATAAAATATGTAATCATTATCATTCTCGTAATTTTTTCCCAAAAATAATGCTTTCAGTAAATAGGCCTACATGTAATTGTTATAATTGGCAATTTGCTTAGCTGATACGCATAGTGTAAATTTATGCAACAGTGCCCTTTACTGGTCTCACATTCTGTCATATTGAGTTAATGTGTTAAACATGTTTAATTAATTGCCTACTTTAAGAGTCAGCTTTGACTTGGTATACCATGATACTAAAGTGGTAAGTCTGAAATCCATTGTACCAAAAACATGGTACTTTTTGCAAGTTTTTTTTTTACTCTTTTTTTTATTTTATTAGAGCATGCTATAAAAGTTATACGTCAGAGATAGACAATAGGGGTGCCGACATTTGAAAAAATGTACAAAGATAGAAAGTTTGTGGATTGTTGTTTCTTTAGGCGGAGAGCCAACAGTCTGCTAGCTCTGTTACCATATTCATAGTATTTTTGTTTGACAAATCTTAGCCTGCCTTCCATTACATTGGAAAGTAATGTATTTAATTCTCTACGTGCTACAGTCAATTCTGTTAGTAATACAGGGGTTGTAGTCCATTTATGTTGTTGTTCCAATTTCCTAATAGTATTTTCTAATTGTTGCTGCTTATGTTCTCTTTCCCTTTTTTTTCGCACTGGCAAAAGCAATTATGCGTCCTCGTAAGTAAGCTTTAGCACAGTCCCACAATATTAGTGGTGATATATCTGGAGTGGTGTAAGTATCTAAGTAGAATTGTAATTCATTTTTTATAAATGCTATAAATGCATTATCATTGAGTAAAGATATGTTAAGTCTCCATTGCCTGGATATTGGTCTAAATCCTAAATCCCATGACATCATCAACGGAGCATGGTCTGATAATGTTATTGGCAAAATTGTAATATCTGTTACTCTATGTAGTTCTGATATTGACGTAAATAAATAATCAATTCGTGAATATGATGAATGCCTAGTAGAGAAAAAAGTAAAATCTTTCATATTGGGAAACTTTTGTCTCCATATATCCACTAGCCCGGTTTCTTTAAGTTGTCCAACTAATATTTTACTCATTTTAGGAAGAGGGGACTTTGGAGATGGTTGTCTATCCATATATTGTGACATGACACAATTAAAATCTCCACCCAGCAAGAGCATTCCTTTACCGTGTTGCAAGATAACCCTAAATATTTTATTTATAAAATCTGGATCATCTTCGTTAGGGGCATAGACATTCATGAATGAGACCTCCAAACCATCAATTATACCATTTACTAGAATAAATCTACCTTCAGTGTCTTTATGAACTGTAGTAGATGTGAAGTTCAAACCTCTATGAACTAAAATACAGACTCCTCTCCTTTTTCCTGATTTGTGAGATGAATAAAAAGCCTTATCCGCCCAGGACTTTGTCAATTTTTTGTGTTCTCTATCTGATAAATGCATTTCTTGGAGTTGTCTCAGCTGATTGAGAATTTTTTTTCTTTTGATAGGGCTATGAAGGCCATTTATATTATAACTTATTACCTTACACGGACCCATTGACCTGTATATGATACCAATAATAAATCTGAAGGCATGAAAAGTCTAAGGAGAGTAACAATACATACATTTGTGTACATATAGGAGTATATATGCCTCTGTATAAAAAAAAAAAAGGGGGGGGGGAGGATTGCTAACCAAGTATGAGCAAATAAAACTGCTGTTACTGTCATACCTCAATCTTTGGTCCCTATCATGATCTCTGAAGAACAAGAACAAAGCATGAACACATCCCAAAGAGAACATGGGATTTAACAAGTAGGAAAGATATCACTTTACAAATCAAGAAAACTAAATCAAACTAAGAGTTTCTAGGCTATATGCCTGTGTTTAGGCTACTATCCTAAGGTTAATAATAGGCGATGACACTCGCCTATTCTAGTACAGGGGTTAGATGTAAATACCCTTAAGCTCCAGCAGAGACATATTTTACTCAGAATGATTTAAGCAGAAACTATTGCTGCCTTAGCTAAACATAATCATCAACATTTTTCTAGAAAACAGGTAATTTATCCTACCCTCATTCTGTTATTGACCATGGCAGTGACAGTTTCCATTAGTCCATCATTCATTACTCCACAGAATTATAGTCCAAAAACATGCATACTTTCATCAGTTTAATCTGGTGGATAATTATTCATTATTTTGCATATGTTAGTCTTTGTGTCCTTCATCCACTCGATGATTAATCCCTAGCCCATGGAGCTACGATTACATCCGTGCTGTTTTTATGAACTTGTTGTGATGGTGTTCATCACAAAAGCCATGGCTTTCTCTGGGTCAATGAATTCTCTTTGATCGCCATTTAATGTGATCCGCAATTTGGCAGGATAGATGAATCCATAGCGAATGTCTGGCCGGTTGTGGATACGCTTTTTCACCTCTGTGAATGCTGCTCTAGCCTTTGCAACCTTTGCTGTGAAGTCGGGGAAGATGGCTATTGGGTGTCCATTAAACTTTAGTGGCGCCATCTCTCGTGCTTTCTTTAAAATCTCCTCTCGATCTTGATAATAGTGCATGCGAACAATTATGGCTCGTGGATTTCCTCCTGGTCGTTTAGGTGTCAGGCTGCGGTGGGAGCGGTCAATCTGTAGTTCTCTTTCGATATTAAGCGCTTCTTGAAGCAATTTGGATACCGCTGCCGTATTACTTGAGCCTGGAGTTTCAGCCACTCCCACGATCCGGACGTTGTTTCTCCTCATCCTTCCCTCTGTATCTTCACATCTCTCCTCGAGAAATTTCACTTGGCTCTCAAGTTTGGTCACCTTTGTTTGCAGTGTTGTAGTTTCATCTGACCATGCTGACAGACCTTCCTCTACGTCCTTTATTGTAACATTCACTCTGTCCAATTCGGTGCGCATAGCTAATGCATTATTAGCTATTTCCGACCTCATTTTTTGTAACTCGTTTTTCAAATAGTCGAAATCCTCTGCAAGAACTGCTTTCATTTCCGATCGCATTATCGAACCGATTTCTGCTCTTATGGAGGTCAGGATTTCGGTTTTCAACACATCTATGTCCATGTCAGTTTCATCGTGTTCACCTTGACGAGAGAAGAGGGTTTGGCTGGATTGGTTGACAGATCCCTTTCCAGTCGAGTCGCTAGGCCGCGAATTCCCGGTACCGTCGTACTTGAATTTTCTGAGTTTCGCTGTCATATTAGTATCTTTTGATGTCGTCTTTAAAGCATCAACGGTATCTCACATTTACCCGACCTTTAGAATGTATTATTTCTGCGATTGCTCTTGAAATAATTAAGTTTCTGCTGGAGCTCTCAAAAACGCGACTTACGCCATGCTTTGCTCACGAGCACCCCCACTTTTTGCTAGTTTTGAGATGAAAAATTGTTTATAAATAACCTAAATGCTTTATTTTTTTTGTGCAAAAAATTCCTTGAAGTTCAAGGTTAGAGTTTAGCATTAATGTTGACATTACGTTGACACATGACGCATTATGAGACCTGTTCAGATATCAGACTCTTTGGAGTTTTTGCATTTATTTGATCAAAAATACAGAAAAAAATTTTATATTGTGAAATATTATTGCAATTTCTAATATTGGTTTTCTATTTTAATATACTTTAAAATATAATTTATTTCTGTGACGCAAAGCTGAATTTTCAGCATCATTACTCCAGTCTTCTGTGCCACATGATAATATGCTGATTTATTATCAGTGTTGAAACTGTTGCGCTGCTTAATATTTTTTTAGAACCTGTGATATTTTTTCTTTGATCCTTTGATGAATAAAAAGTTAAAAATAACAGCATTTATTCAAAATGGAAATCTTTTCTAACAGTATAAGTCTTTTACTATCACTTTTTATTCATTTATCACATCCTTACGGAATAAACGTATTAATTTCTTTAAAAAAAAAAAAAAATTTACTGACCCCAAACATTTGAATAGTAGTGTATATTGTAACACAGCATTTCTATTTTGAATAAACACTGTTTATTTTAACTTTTTATTTATCAAAGAATCCTGACAAAAGTATCACAGGCTAGAGTAATGATGCATAACATATCACAGGTGTAAATAATATATTAAAGTATATTAAAATAGAAAACTGTTATTTTAAATTGCAATAATATTACACAAAATCAAATTTTTTCAGTATTTTTGATCAAATAAATGCATATTTGATGAGCATAAGAAACTTCTTTAAAAACATGAAAAATTTAAATATTTTTTTTCTTATTACAGATAAGATCAGCATAACAATTTGATTGGAGAGTTCAATGTTTTAATGTCTTAGCATTTGATTTAACAACAGTAGTACATAGAAACACACTTCACAAGTTTGTCTATAAAGCCTGATGGTTGTTTCATTCTTATATGATTAGATCTGAGAACCTCCAAATCAAATCTTTTTTATCCGTTCAAATGTTTAGGGTTTATTTTTATTTTATAGGTTTATTTTTTATTTTTTATTAGTTTTTGAAAGAATTATCTTATGGTCAACAAGGATGCATTTATTTATTTGATCACAAATACAAAAAAAAAATCAGTATTATAGTGAAATATTGTTGCAATTTTAGTATAAAAAAATTCTAATTTGTTGCAACCACAACTGTTTCTGAGGAGCTACATTGTTTGGTGGAAGAATACTGTTTTTATTAATATCATTACACTTTATTTGCTCTGTTTTATTTCGTGAAACAGTACTACGTATATGGAATAACCGTTTTATAAAAGCAGTAATCCCCATGAAGCCGTGGTTTACAGTGAATTTATAACAGCTAAGAATTTATAACTCCGAAGAACGATACAACTGTCCAAGAAACATTCAAAACTATGAAAGTGAACGGATTCATACCTTTAAGCAGATATTGGTGCAAAGCTTGGGCTCTGTGTCCTGCAGGAGCAGCGAGGGTCTGCTGAGAGCGGAGCAGGTTTTGAGAGGACTGGGGCTGGACTCGTCTCCGGAGGACTGCGTGGCCGTACAGAGAGTGTGTCAGATTGTCTCGACACGAGCAGCTCATCTCTGTGCCGCCGCGCTCGCGGCTGTCCTGCGGCAGATCCGGGATAACAAAGCCACAGAGAGACTGATTGTCTCGACACGAGCAGCTCATCTCTGTGCCGCCGCGCTCGCAGCTGTCCTGCGGCAGATCCGGGATAACAAAGCCACAGAGAGACTGCGCACCACTGTTGGCGTGGACGGATCGGTCTACAAGAACCACCCACAGTGAGTCCAGAACCAGAACCAGAACCAGTGTGTGCTTTCTGTAGCACTACACGACCAGTCAAGAGTTTTTGAACAGTAAGATTTTTAATGTTTTTTAAAGAAGTCTCTTCTGTTCACCAAGCCTGCATTTATTTGATCAGAAATACAGCAAAAGCAGTAAAATTGTGAAATATTTTTACTATTTAAAATAACTGTTTTCTATGTGAATATCTGTTAAACTGTAATTTATTTCTGTGATCAAAGCTGTATTTTCAGCATCATTACTCCAGTCTTCAGTGTCACATGATCTTCAGAAATCATTCTAATATGCTGATTTGCTGCTCAAAAAAAACATTTTTTATTATTATTATGATGTTGAAAACAGAAAAAAATAGAATTTTCAGGTTTCTTTGATGAATAGAAAGTTCAGAAGAACAGCGTTTATCTGAAATAGAAATCTTTTGTAACATTATAAATGTCTTTATCATCACTTTTGATCAATTTAAAGCATCCTTGCAAAATAAAAGTATTCATTTCTATAATTTCTTTTCCAAACAAATTATAAAATGATACTGACTCCAAGCTTCTGAATGGTATAGTGAATAATGTTACAGAAGATTTTTATTTCAGATAAATGCTGATCTTTGGATCTTTCTATTCATTAAAGAATCCTGAAAAGAATGTACTCAACTGTTTTAAATATCGATAAGAATAATAATAATGTTTCTTGAGCAGCAAATCAGCATATTATACTGATTTCTGAAGATCATGTGACACTGAAGACTGGAGTAATGATGCTGAAAATACAGCTGCGCATCACAGGAATAAATTACAGTTTAACACATATTCACATAGAAAGCAGTTATTTTAAATAGTAAAAATATTTCACAATTTTACCGTTTTTGCTGTACTTTGGATCAAATAAATGCAGGTTTGGTGACTTCTTTAAAAACATAAAAAATCTTACTGTTCAAAATTTTTTGACTGGTAGTGTACATGATTACCATATTCATATATAATGGTATTTACATAGCATTCCACTGTACAGTATAAAGAATACCATGTTACGGCTCTAATGTATGGTAAATGTTAGATTTCCAGCACTCGGTTGTTCAGACTCAACAAAACACTCAAAAGCTCATTACTCTATGGTTGAAAATGCATTTCAGTAATGCTTTTGAAGCACAAAATTCAACTTGCTCACCAGTGCTGTAATTAAAATGAGACTTTAGCACTTGTTTAACAGTTAAACATGTCAAAAATCCAGTTAAACTAGAGACAAGCATGTGAGGAGAAGCGAGACTCTGCTTTTGTAGGGTTCATCACACTTACTAACAGTTTTTCCTGGAATCTCGCTCTCTCTTGCTTCCCGACTGAAAAGGTGACGGGCTAAAACCTGCTGTTTCTGTTTATTTCCCTGTGCTGGATTGACAAGAAAATGAAGCGATCGCAGCTTGAGATGTAAACGTGTATTTGTGGGTTGTTGAGGAGCTTTTTGTGCAGCTTCCGAAGTTAATCTTGAAACAAGATTTACACTCCAAAAACACTGATCGTTCTGTCTGCACTTTTATGTCTTATTACTAATTTATTTGACAATGCTAGAAAAAAGTTTGTTTACAAATTGGCCAAAAACAATTACTGTGGCAAAATTTGAGATAGGAGCAAATGAGGACGACGGCTCATCAGTTCATTTGTAAAGTCTGATTGTTCCTGGATGTTGTCAGAGAGTGAATTTTGGAATCTGATTACGTAATCCAGATTACATGTAACCAGTTATTACCCAGATCTGATTATAAGTATGCGTGTGTGTGTGTGTAATAAATATATATATATATATATACACACACACACACGCACTCACTCTCACACACTCTCACTCACTCACACACACACACACACACTCACACACACTCACACACTCTCGCACACACACTCACACACGCGCACTCACACACACTCACACTGACACTCACTCACACACTCACACACGCTCACACACACACACTCACTCACTCACTCACTCACACACACACACATGCATACTTATAATCAGAGCTGGGTAATAAGTAAGGAATAATTGACGACGGGCCGTTGAATTATTAGAAAAATAATGCACACCCGAGGTGGTGATGCGGCCACGACGCGAAGCGGAGTCTGATCGTCTTTCACGTAATATATTTACTTGAAGTATCCCTGAGATTTTAAAATAAATATATTTAATAATATGTTCATGGTTCTCTGATGGTCACATGACATGCAGGTAAACAAAATATTAAATTTTTTAGTACATGTTTTATTTTGATTGATTTTAAAATTATTTATTTTAATGCAACATTTAATTAGTTATTAGCTTTCATTAAACTCACAAATCCAACACTTCATGTTGTTAATAACAATAAATGGAATATGTTTTCTTAATTTTTGTATTTTTATATCAATGTAAAAATCACTAACATTTTTGTCATGTAATTTAACGGATCTGTAATCATTAACGGATTGCAATTTGTAAGTAATCTACCCAGCTCTGCTTATAATACAAAATTAGTAAATTATAAAATTATAATTTATTATAAAATTATAATTTATTATAAAATTATAATTTACATATAAAATGTATGTATACTGGATGGATGGATAATATATAATAAGTATAAATATTATATAATAATATTTAATAAATATTAAGCGGTACACGTCATTAGACTTTTAAAAGATAAATTGCAGAATTATACTCTAAACATAAAATTATACAGTAGTCAACATTTGAAGTGGATCAAAACCTTTCATCAAAGTTGTCCTAAAACCAAAATGCGTTTTATTTATCATCAGCCATTTATCATCAGTTAGATGTTTTTTTTGTTTGCCACAGGCAATTTAAATATACCCCAAGCAATCTATCTTCATTCCAGTTTCATGTACTTCTGCTAATTTAAATGAGTTATTAAATCATACGATCTGAAAATAACACTTCACAGTAAGGATATTAACATGGAATCACGTTAAAAACTTTTTGTCCTCTAGGCTGAATCAGTATAGATTTAAAAGACTGGTTTTATTTTATTTTATTTTATTTTTTATTTTTTATTTTTTATTTTTTATTTTTTATTTTTTATTTTTTATTTTTTATTTTTTATTTTTTATTTTTTATTTTTTATTTTTTATTTTTTATTTT